TCGACCGCGCTCTTCACTACCTTGTTAGCACTCCAACGATCGGCCTGACCTACTACAAGAACAGAACTACAACGCCCAAGTTAATCGGCTACGTCGACGCCGACCACGCCGGAGATTCTGACAACAGGCGCTCGCGCACAGGCTACATCTACCGCCTCGAGCCTATCGGACCTATCTCCTGGCAGTCGAGCAAACAGGAATTAATCGCTCTCTCCTCAGCTGAAGCTGAATATATCGCACTCTGCTCAGCCACCAAGGAAGGACTGTACCTTCGCGAACTTCTGGAGGAGGCAAAGCTGGCTCAGTTACCCAGCTTCTCCTTGTTCTGCGACAACCAGTCGGCAATTCGCATAGCCAACAAAAACGGATTCGCGAACAGGACGAAGCATATCGCCCTGCGATATTTCTTCGTAAAGGACGAGATCGAGAAGGGGAGACTTGAGCTGTCTTACTGTCCCACGTCCGAGATGGCAGCTAATTACTTGACCAAGAAGCTCGGGAAGCAGAAGTTCGAGTACTGCATGCTGCTGACTGGACAAAGCCACGTCACCAGCAGCGACACTCCAGAAGCGAAGGGGAGTGTTGGAAACAATTGATTTAACGCATCTGTCGTGTCGAAACACCAAGGCAGAAAGCGAGACAAAACATACCGTAATCACCCGGACATACCACCCGCCGAAATTGTAGACCCCCGGGTGGCTTGTGCGGGGTGGGTGTTATAGTTGACCCCATTTGTACTATACCCCCCCTTTTGGGGTGATTCTTTATAAGACCCTGGGGGAGGGTGTTATGTCAGGCAAAAGTTCTCATTAGAGGTAGATTTCATAGATCTAGGGGCGCAATCTACTACCTACTAAGATTACCGCCATCAAGAACCAAGAGTTTCACATAAACATCAAGATCATCTACCGCCCAGAGATCATGAATTGCAATACGGTGCTATCTACTCATCATCGTCCCCTGCATGCCATTTTTCAACCTCTTCTCCGTCAAAGCGGCCGGGACGCCACCAGTCATCATCATCGCTGCACTCCCCCGCCTCCTCGCCGTCTGCAGGCCCAACCCCCTCCTCGTCTTCTGCCTCCGCCTCCGCCTCTGCGGCGTCATCCTCCTCTTCCACCTGTAGCTCCTCGGCCGGCATGGGGACTTCAGCGTAGAAGGGGTTGACGACAGTCTCGTCGTCAACCATCTCGTTGACGTCGTCCAGCACCTCCACCTCACCCTTGTCCCGCATGTGGGCAAGGATGAGGTGGTCTTCGGTGCCGTCGATGCTGGTGGAGATCCCGCGTGTGACGAACGCCTTCTTCACGAGCTCTTCTGGAACAGCTTCCCAGGATTCGTCGATCCAGCGGAGAACCGTCTCCGCAGACGGCTTTTGCAGATTGCATGTGGTAAGGGAAGAAGTTTACATTCACGATTGAGGACTTGCAAACCGAGCCATAGTTGGGACATATGCATGCACAATAGCCAGCCTCGCGGAAATGCAAGTTGAGGCATCAACTCACCTGCACGCGTTGTCAGGTTGATGCCGTCTTCTTCGAACCACGTGCTGTAACGGTGACGCACACCGCATTTAAACGCGCGGTTGATCGATACATCCAACGGCTGCACAAGCGGTGTGCACCCCCCTGGGATGACCGCCCTCGACAGCCTGAACATGCGCATCGTCTGACCAACAGCTTCGGTCAAGTGGCCGCGGTATGAGTCCAGCACCACCAAGGCCTCCCTTCGGCGTCCGGTAGTCTCTCGCAGAGGCTTCATAAACGGCACAAGCACCTGCGTGATCCAGTCCTGCACAAGAGACTCATCCATCTATCCCTTCTCGTGTGCACGGACCACCACACCTGTCGAAAACAACGCGAGCGTCAGAGTCCCGCGGATTTGATAGAGAAGCAGGCAATAACACGGGTTGAGGCGTGGTTTGGTTCACTTACCGGCAGGAATGGCCACTTTCGGGACGGTCTTCCACTTGAACACAACGTAGGGGGGAAGCTTCAGCCCTCCCGCCGTTACTGCCAGCATAACAGTAACGCGTTCCTTCTGGTAGCCCGCAGACCGCACGTGTACCGTCCGCGCTCCCTTCATTTCGATTGTACATTCCGCCGGCATCTCTAGGAAAAGCGGATTCTGATCGGCGTTTACGATCAGATCGAGTGGGTAGTCATGCAGAGTGCGCATCTGGCGCACAAACTCCCAAAACGACTCGACTTTCTCCTTGCAATCTGCATTCAGAACCACGGTGCACATTACAACATGTTCGAAGACGAACCATGACCGCACTTCAACGCGAAGACTTACCCGCTGCCAACTTCTGCCCCATCTTAGTCTTCACCCTCCTTGCCAAGTGCCACCGCGCGCGGAAACGAGCCGACCAACGGAACGACGCGCGCCAATTGACCCCAGGCATCCGATGCTTCATATACTTTGCGCTCCACTTCTGGAGCATGTTGACAGAAACGGAGAGCCCCTTTGCCCGGTGGCTCAGGAACTGGCGGTAGACCGCCCGTTCCATAAACGGGTACTTCGCCTTGCGTCCTGCCCCCATGAGGCGACGGCGGCATCCGGAAGCGACCTCCAGTCGTTCCCTCATCTTTTTCCAGTCACGAATCTGGCATGGTTGCACCTTTGCGAGCTTGGCAAGAGCTCGATTCGACAGGTCCGGCTGAAATTCTTGCATCTTCAGCCAGTGAAGCTTCTCTTTCGCGGTGTACGAGTGACGAACGCGTTTCGTCATACGATGCCGCGGGGAAGGAGGCTCTGCATCCGTGTTGCGTTTCACTTGTCCCTGCGGGCGATTACGTTGCGGAAAAGTGGGGACAGCCACTCGGGGAAGAGGAGGCCAAGGACGGTCTGCGTTACTGCTCGGTTCATCCTCGGTAGAGCCACTGGCTGCAGGAGACGACTGAGGCATGTAGGGGTGAGGAGTCGGGCGTGCGCGTGCAGCAGCGGGAGACGGAGTGTAAACAGGCCGGTGCCGTCTAACTACCGTACTGCTGGAATCTGGAGAGGTTGCCATCTAAACCTACTGCAGGTTGGTGTCACTGGCCATAGCTAAACTGCGTTTAAACTAACGAAGTAGCGACAGGGAAAGAAGCGCACTTATAGCCTGCCGAGCACAACACAGATTCGAGCAATGGAGTCGCTGCATAAACGAAAGATGAGAGTCGTTTGAGGGAGAGGGACGTGACCAAAACGGGCACGACGTGACCGAAACAATGACAACGCAGCACAGTGAAGAATTCCAGCCTCGGAGGGCCCATGCAACCTCGCCGCGCGATGCTAGCACTATTTTCACCTCATCAGGGCCAGAGGTGGCCCATTGGGACTTGCCATGTGGCAGGTTATAGTGGGGGGTTGCATTATCGTCGCATACTCGATTTCGCGCGCGCGAACACCATTTTCCCAGTCAAGTAAGAACCCTGTTTTTCTTTCCAATCAATTCTGCTTAAAAAAACATGTGCTATATATATGAACCCGGGTGTTATGTAGCTTTTGCCATTGAGAAGACCCCCCCCATTTTTTCAGTGTATTTAAAGTAAGACCCTAGGGTGTTATATCCGGGTGATTACGGTATCGTAGCGAGTCAACCCTCGGAGGTTGAACAACTGCTGGAGGTTACGCGAAAGTCAAAGGTCAGCGACCTTTGACCTGACAAATACAGCGCGACAGCAGGGACAAACAACTGACTCGCTACTGAGCAGTTGCCCGAGTCGTCACTGTATCGAACCGCAACAGCAACAGTAAAACGGTTATTAACTATATCTCTTCATATTCCTTGTACTCTTATAAAAGCTTGTACGGTATCTCTTTGTTTTAATCAAATCTACTTTGCCCTCACATACTAGCGCAAGGTGGTTCACAAAGTTATTATTCAACGCTTCCGCTATTACATCATTCTACTCTGAATTTAGTCCTGCAAAGATCCTAAGGGCTTTTTCTCAGCTTAACACGCGTAACCTCCAACGGTTGCTTCTCTTGATTCGTGTTGCTTCACTGTAGTGTGCTTCGTTTCGTGTCGGTAGTTCGATACTTCAGAAGTGTTGAAGTTATTGTTTCCAACAATTTAAACTGCAATAGAGTGACACTTCCAGAGCACACCATCACAACCAGCAAAACATCAGTCTTCCAACCGACCACCCGTAGCTTAAAGCCCTGCCAGATCAGCAATCACTCAGGTAGCACATGGCAGTGTGCGACTGTGGGGGCTTCCGCGCTGCCTTGTTCATGTTCAGCGCACAGCAACGTGCTTGGAGCCGGTGCCCACCAGGGCTGACGTTTCATTTTAAGCTTCCCTGATTCCGGGAAAAAATTTCCCCCTCTATTATGGGTGCACATTTTCCAGAAAAGCAGTACCCTGATTGCTCAGGGTTGTAAAGTAGTTAACACTGATTGTTCAGGGTCGAGAACTGAACATCAGAGTAGTAACGCGTGCTTTGTTACCGGGGAAAATATCCTTACTCTCCATAAAGTCTCGAAGTTTCGATCAGAACGAAGTTTCGAAGAAACTTCGTCTCGATAAAGCGGGAAGGGGGGGATTACGCACATGTGGGGGGATCACTGCGATCAATCCAAGGCGGGGTCATCGGAAGGAAACTTCCGAGAAACTTCTGTTCGATAAGTCGGGGAAAATATCCCCATTCTCCATAAAGTCTCGAAGTTTCGATCAGAACGAAGTTTCGAAGAAACTTCGTCTCGATAAAGCGGGAAGGGGGGGGATTACGCACATGTGGGGGGATCACTGCGACCAATCCAAGGCGGGGTCATCGGATGGAAACTTCCGAGAAACTTCCTCTCGATAAGTCAGGGTCCACACAGTCGATACTCTGTTAAGTCAAGGTCCACTAATAGCCTAGTCTGTTACACTGTACTCAAAATCAGGGATAGCTTAACTATTACTCTGATTGGATCAGGGCTGGAAATTCAATAACTCTGAAATTTCAGTCTCCACGAAGTGGAAAGCCTGAAATCACCCTGAAACCAGGGTAATTACCCTGATAAAATCAGCCCTGGTGCCCACCTGCCCCCTCTCGCTGCGGCGCAGCGCCCTGTGCAGGTTGTACGCGTAGGCGAGCGCTGCCTTGTTCAGCCGTGGCTCGTACGTGGTTAGCTGGTGGGGGGGGGGCCGGGGGGGGGGGGGGGGGGGAGGGGGGTGGGGGGGGAAGGGAGAAGGGGATAGGGTGTGATGGGTGGAGTGCAGGTTGTACGCATAGGCCAGCGCCGCCTTGTTCAGCCGCGGCTCGTACGTGGTTAGCTGATGCGGGGGGAGCAGGGGGGAAGGAGAGGAGGGTGGGGGAAAAGGAGTGAGGATGAGGAGTGCAAGAGAGGGGAATAGGGGTTGTGGTATGTCAGCGCTGCCTTGCTCAGCCGCCGCTTGTGCGGCTAGCTCTCGGAGAAAAGGGGGCGGAAGAGGGGAGGGGAGGGAGGAGAAAGGGAGAAGCGGCAGGGGGTGGGTACAAGTGAAGACGAGGAGTAGAGGAATGGGGAATCGGGGTTGATGGGTGCGATGCAGGTTGTATGCATACGTCAGCGCTGCCTTGTTCAACCTCGGCTCGTACGTGTCTGCTGATATGGAAGGGGTGGGATGGGTGGTGGGCCGGGGGGAGGGGGAGGGGGAGGAGTGGAGTTGTGGAGTGAGGAGAAGGTTCTGCGAGTAGTTGAATGAATGCGTATGTCAGATCTGCGCTGTTTCCCAGCTTGTGTGCGTAGAGCAGACAGAGGGGGGGGGGGGGGGGGGGGGGGTGGAAAGTGAGGTGAGGGGAGGGGAGAGCATGGGGAGAAATGGATGAGGGGAGGGCAGATCAGTGATGGGAGCTCTCGTCACACATCAGTGAGCGCACTACTACACTCCGCACACAGTATCCTTACCCTCACGCACACTTATAACGCACCTACCCTCGCTGCTTATAACGCACCCGGTCCGTGATGTTTTTGGCGATCTGCGGCATGTCCTTCTTGAGCACGATGACCTCGCTTGCCTCGGCGGGCTTGTGCGCCTTGTCGGGATGCGTGATCATCATCTCCAGGTTCTGCCCCTTGCCCATCGCGCGGATCGCCACCGTCTTGCCCGCCGCCAGGCCTAGTTTGTGAGGGGGGGTTGGGGTGTGGGGGGGAGGGCGGGAATGCGGGGGACAAGGTTCGCCGTCACGCGGACAGGAGAGAGAAGGGAGTGCAATGGACAACGTTCCCTCATCTCCGGATTTTGCCCCTTGCCCGTCGCGCGGATCGCCACCGTCTTGCCGGCCGCCAAGTCTGGTTTGAGAGGAGGGGAGAGGTGAGTGCAGGTGGTGTAGGGCGCCGAAGAAACGAGAAATGGCGCGACGCCGCAGTTCCCGACGCAGCGGCTTTAGACGCAGAGGCCGTCGTTGAATCCGAAAAAAAAAACGCCCTAGATGAAAAATACCGTGGATCCGCCCACTTCTCCAAATTCCTCTGGTCCTCTACGTAGCCACCCGCTTTCGCGATTTTTTTTTCACCTCAAACGGCGATGATGAGAAGTCGTTACGCAGCCGTCCCGTTTCGTGCCGCGTGGGATACCCGAGAGCGTTTCGAAGCTCCTCGAAACACAGCAGTGCCACTCAGAGCGGCGCCCGACAAATCGACGCATGGCATGGCGGCCTGCTTTCCCCGCGATGATCGCGGCCTGCTATTGACACATTCGCTTTTGTGATATCCGCATATATGACATCTGCCGTAGCTATATCCGCTGTTGCCACATCCGTTGTTGCTGTATCCGCTATTGCTACTGCGACATCCGCTAAGCGGCGTCAGCAGAAATTTGCAAAGAAGTGCTTCAAGAGCGGCACGCGCGGGTTACGGAAGGAAGGCACGTTGGGAAGCACAGAGGAAGAAGGAAAAGGATCGAAGATGATGGAGGGTTTTAGTCGAGAAGTGATGAAGGCTAGGGTTTGCGAGTGTGGGCGAGTTGCTAGATTAGCCCTTAGTGGTGGGTCATTTGCCCGAGAGGGGTGTAAGATACATGGGTGATCGATTTGCAAAGCTGTTTTATCGAACTACGTAAATGTTCGAATTGGATTGGACAATGTCTCTCAACATCTGAAATATGTTAACGAGTGTTCTCCAATCGGAAACATCTATCTGTATTCCCCACCGCCATGTGGCCCATGTCAGCGCGCCGCCTTGGGGTCATCCTAACAGATGCATGAATTTGAACGGCGCAGATTCATTCACAGGGATGACTGTAAATCTGCGCCTCCATCGTCCATTTTACCACGGCCAAGTGAAAGCAAAGCTCGCCCCACCCTTCCCGCTTGCTCGTCTGCCAAGTGATAGAACCTAGTAACCGACATGGCATCCACCGCGATTCCCGCTACTCTGTATCGAATCACGAGCTCTCAACACTGCCGACTGCAAGCGCAAGAGGCCGCGCCGTGCGCCCAATTCGCAAGAGGCCAGACTAGCGGTTCGCTTTGTTTGCCATCTCGCGGCGCGGCTGCTGCCGGCAGGGGTCGCACGGGATCGGCGATTTCGCGTCGTCGGTTGGCGACTGTCGCCGCGACGGGCACGGATGTCGCTGCAGATGCGGAAGTGGACTTGTACGGGCTTCTCGGGGTTGATCGTAGCGCGGATAAGGCCGAGCTGAAACGCGCATTCCGCAAGCTGGCGCTTCAAGCTGAGTGTCGCTTTCGGTGCGAGAGGAAGAGAGAACGAGAAAACAGACAACTCCAAGAGAGCATATATCACGTTTTTGCCTCACACCCCGCTGCTGTCACTCTCTGTGTAGTCACGGCTCATCAACCTTCCGCTCTGCGCACTACCCAGCGCGAGCTCCCACCATGGTCGGCTCTTTAGTAGGCCAGTAACAGTCGGCGGCGACTCGTGTCGCACGTCGCGCACCGCGTGAGGCACACGTTCTTCCCAGTGACTCAGTGCACTCCGCTCTCACCCGCTCCCTCTCAGCACCTCCTGCTTGCCCGTCCCTCACTCCCATCCTGGCTCCGCTCTTCGTCGTCTCTGCCTCATGCCGCGTCTCTGTCTCCTCTCTGCCTTCTCCCTGCCCTCCTCCCTGCCCTCCTCTCCGCGTCCCTCTCCCTGCAGTACCACCCAGATGTCAACAGCGACCCGGGGGCGGCAGACACGTTCATTCAGCTCAGTAACGCGTACGAGGTATCGGTCCGCTCTCACCTCTGGCCGCGCATGCCTCGTTATCCGCATGCCACGCATGCTCCAGCGTCACAAATACTCACGGCCACCGTCTGTGTGCCTGAATTGAATCGGTGCCACCACAATCAGCGCAGTCTTAATGCTGCTCACTCACCCACTCGCCTCCACCCAGTATGCTCACTGCTGCTGCTGCTGCCTCTGCCCTCTGCCGTCTCGCCCTTCCCCCCTCCCTGTCTCTCCCCCCTTCCTCCATCAGGTGCTGGTGGACGCCAATAACACACACCAACACACACCAATACACGCCAACACACACCAATACACGCCAACACACACGCCAGTGACGCAGCCCAGTGACAAAGCCCAGTGAGGCAGCCCGGTGAGGCAGCCCAGTGAGGCAGCCCAGTGAGGCATGGGTGGGGCATGGGAGGTGCGAGTGGGGTCCGTGGGAGGCGTTTGACACGTGGGACGAGTTCCAGACCTTTCAGCACAAGTGAGAAGCGGGTGGGGCATGGGTGGTGTGAGTGAGTGCGTGCGTGCTGCCAAATGAGGCATGGGTGGAGTCCCTAAACCCTTGACACTTGGGACGAGCCCCTCACCTCACTCAACCCCCACACGACAACCCTCCCTTGCTACATGGCAGGACGCGCAAGGGCGATGCGAGGCAGGCAGCAGCAGCCAGGTGGTCGTCAGACAGCGGGAGTGAGGGCGAGGGCGAGGCAGTGGGCCAGGTGGTGGAGGCGGTGACGGGGGATGTGGTGGAGTACCCGCTCTCTGCTGCTGTCAGGGACAGATTTGATGACGGCCGCATCAAAGGTGAGCCTCTGCCCCTCGTGCCCTCTCGTGCCCTCTCTCTCCCTCTCGTGCCCTCTCTTGCCCACTCTTGCCCACTCTTGCCCTCTCTCTCCCTCTCTTGCCCACTCTTGCCCTCTCTCTCCCTCTCGTGCCCTCTCTTTCCCTCTCTTGCCCTCTCTTGCCCACTCTTGCCCACTCTTGTCCTCTCTCGTATTACATCACTCAGACCCCCCGTGTTCTTCTCCTTTCATATCCTCTTCCTTCTTTTCTGTGTGCATGCAGGCGTTGGCTTTGTGGTTGGCCGCAATAAAGGTGCGCTGCTTCCCTGCCACGCCCCTTGTCTCTGTCTCTTCCACCCTGCCACCCACTACTTCCTCTCTGCCTCCATTATGGTCATTTACCTCGTCTGCACATCGCCCCTATTGCTTGCTCCCTCATCTGCCAGCACATCCTCCTCATCTGCCAGCACATCCTCCTCATCTGCCAGCACATCCTCCTCATCTGCCAGCACATTCTCCTCATCTGCCAGCACATCACCCTATTCCGCCACTACCACCTTTCCTTGTCCCTCCAATAGACCGTGGCGATCGCCACAAGCTCCCACCCGAGGTGAGAAGCGCCTCTCTTATCCGTGCACCAAGTGTGCCCAAGTGTTTGTTCATTCATGCATACGTGTTAGTTCTCTTCGATGCCCTTTATTGCTACTTGCCTCACTGCTTTTGATTCCTCCACCTCTTTCCCGCCTCACCTTTCCTGATTCTTAATCTCCTCCGCCTCGATCGGGGCCCATGTAGCTGGTGGAGACACAGCCACAGAGTCAGAAGCAGCGAAGGTGGTTTCTTGCAACCGCTTTGACTGCCCTCATCTCTCAGCTCTCTCCTCTGCATCTCCGGTCGCTGGACCTTTCCGTACCCCTCTGAACCCCTCCACTTCCTACCAGAACCTGGGGCTGGTGGAGATAGAGCCGCAGGTCCTCGTTCCCGCCTTGCTCTCTCTTTCTCTCTGCATCACCTGCATTCACGCCTCTCGTGTCTCATGTCCCCCTGCTCCTCCGTGCTACTAGAACCTGGGGCTGGTGGAAATAGAGCCGCTTTTCCAGGAGGCAGGCGAGAACGTGTGGCAGACAGACGCTCTCGAGAGTGCCGCCTTCGCCTCTCTGCCTGACCTCAGAGTGCTGCGCACTGTGAGCTCTCCCCTCCCTGCTGCGCACTGTGAGCACTTCCATCCCCGCTTTACCTTCTTCGCAGTCACCGCCTCCTCTTTTTGTCGCCATCCGCCTCCGCTACCCCTGTTCCCCCCACATCCCAATTAAATCCCTAGGCCTCCCATTGTGCACACAGGGACACATACCTATGCAACGCACGCACATGCACGCACCAACAGATGCGCGCACACAGAAACACATATGCACACCCCTGCTTGTAACTTCCACCTTTCTCTTCTGCTCTTCTGCATGTCCTCCTTACTCTCAGGCCACTCTGTGTGCTCTGCGCACTGCTCTCACACCCCTTTGCACCCCAAGCTCTCCCATTCCGCCCACTGTGCGCTTCCCACACAGCTCCTTCTTCTCTCTGCTCATCCATCCCACGTCTCCCCCTGCTCTGCGCCCGTCTCCCCCCTTTCTGCACCCTCCCATCCCCGCTCCCCCCTTGACATGTTCCCATCCATCCCCCCTGTTCCCCGCTGCCCTGCGCCCGTCCTTTCCCCATTTCCCCCTCTGCTCTGCACCCATCCATCCCCCCTGCTCCCCGTTGCCATGCCCCCTGCCCCCCCTGCCCTGCCCCCTGCCCGCCATCAATGCGGGCAGGAGTTTGACAAGAGGACTGACTCGTGGCGCATTCTGGATGCGCTGTCCCCAGGGTGTGGGAGCCATGTGTACGACGAGGAGATCATCGTGTGAATATGGATTGCTTCCTTGCCTCATACAGTAGTACGGTACTGTGCATTGTGCGAATGATGGGGAGATGTTGTAATCTTATAGCATCTGTGATGTCCCATTCGATACATTGTGCGGATGATGAGGAATGGTCCGCCGTGCTGTGCCGAGTCTATGGGAATTCAACACATATGAGGCTTACAACATGTATCATGACATCAGATAATTTCAATTCTGGGGCATGGCTCATTGCCAGTGGTGAATGTGCACTAGGGGCGTTGAAGATGAAGACATTACCTGCACTTAAACGAGTCTTTAGAAATCGAATGAATGCATCTAATGTCCAGGGCAGGGCCCTGTAGGTGAGATGATACAAACCCCAGCTCAATGTCAAAACATTACCGTATATGTTTCTAGCTTGTCTAGGCTACGTAGAGGTTATCCTTAGAGGGTACAACTCTTTTCTCGACAATCTTGTACCCCCCCCCCCCAACCTAATCAACCATCACTTTCTCGCTACTCTTAACATGGTTTCAGAGTCTAGGTACCTTCCTAGTCCGTTCCTAGTGTTCTTGGGCCCACCACGCTAGGATATAAGTGCCCATAGCGCGCTGCCCTGAGAGCGCATTGATTGTTTTGCCCCACGAGTGCCCCTAGTGCTGCAGCATGCGCTGTTTTTCGTGCTACCCCTCTAGCGCGATCGACCTGTCCTGCCCCACCCGCGATCACGCTGCCCTGCCCTGCCCGCAATCGCGCTGCCTGCTGCCTAGCGCATTGCCCGCCCGCGAGCGCGCTTCCTGCCCGCGAGCGCCACTGCGCCCCTGCCCGCGCACGCTGCCCGCCAGCAGCCTGTGCCCTGCTGTGCGCTGCTGCTGCTGTCACCTGCGCGGCCCCTCCTGCTGCATGCGCTGCTGCTGCTACCTGCTGCTGCTACCTCCTGCTGCTGCTGCTGAGCCCGAATGCTGCTGCTGAACGCGCTGCTGCTGCTACTGCTGCTGCAAGTGTTCCTGCTGCTGCGCCTGAGCTGCTGCTGCCACATGCGCTGCTGCTGCTAAGCGCTGCTGCTGCTGCTGCTACCTGCTGCTGCTGCTGAACGCGCTGCTGCTTCTACTGCTGCTGCAAATGGTCCTGCTGCTGCGCCTGAGCTGCTGCTGCCACACGCGCTGCTGCGCTGTGCCCTGCCGAGCCGCGCTGCCTAGCCCGCGCCACGCCGCCCTACCAAGCCGCGCCGCCCAGCCCGAGCCGCGCCGCCCTGCTGAGCCGCGCCGCCCTGCCTAAGCAGCACTACCCTACTGCTCCTACTGCTGCGTCTACTGCTGCTACTGCCACTGCTGCTGCAACTGCTGCTACTGCTGTTACTGCAGCTATGGCTAAGATCTCAGTTTTTACTTTTGACGCTGAGGGTCGCGCGATTAGCTTTGATGCTTGGCTCGATGATCTCCAGCTGTAACTGCAGAGCGAGGCTAGGGACGGAATTTCACTGTTCTTGCATACCGAAGGAACCCTCCCAGCCCCAGCTGCCACAACGGTAGATGATCATTCAAAGTGGCTCATGCGTGACGCCACTGCCCGCCTTGCTGTCCGCAACCACCTGCCCGTAGCTGAGCGCGCGCACTTTAGCCAGTAGAAAGCAGCCAAGGCCCTCTATGACACTGTAGTCGCTCGCTACTCCTTCCCAGCTACTGCTGCCCTAGGCCGTCTCATGCTGCCGTACCAGCATCCCGAGCTAGCCGATTTTGTCAAACATATCTGGTATAGTCTATCTAGGCTGTAGTGGGGTAGTCAATACAGGGCACAACACTTTTTAGGTTTTCATATTTGTACCCACCTGCTGCCTAGTTCATTCATTCTTCTCGTTAATTCTCACATGGTATAGAGCAGGTTCCCTAGTGGGACTGTTTCTTCCTAAGGACCCACCACGTCTAAGTTTTTTTTTTTACCTGCCCGAAGCGCGCCTCGCGCACTGCCCTGACCTACGCCTTCGCGGCCCCTACGCGGCCCCTTAGCGGCCCCTTCGCGGCCCCTTAGCGGCCCCTTTGCGGCCCCCTAACGGCCCCTTCGCGGCCCCCTACGGCCCCTTCGCGGCCCCTTATCGGCCCCTTCGCGCCCCCCCCCCCCCCCTAGCGGCCCCTTCGCGGCCCCTTCACGGCCCCTTGGCGGCCCCTTGGCGGCCCCCTATCGGCCCCTTATCGGCCCATTCGCGCCCCCCCCCCCCCCCCCCCCTAGTGGCCCCTTGACGGCCCTTTCGCGGCCCCCTAACGGCCCCTTAACGGCCCCTTTTCGGCTCGCCCCTGCTAGTGGCGTCGCCCCTGCCCGCGGCGTCGCCCCAGCCCACGGCGTCGCCCCAGCCCGCAGCGTCGCCCCTGCCCACGGCGTCGCCCCTGCTCGTGGCGTTGCCCCTGCTCGCGACGTCGCCCCTGCCTGCGGCCTCTCCCCTGCTGAAGTGGCCCCTGCTGCCGCAGCCCCTGCTGACGCGGCACCTGCAGTCGCGGCCCCTCCCCTGCTGGCGCTACACCTGTTGCTGCGGCCCCTGCTGTCAAGGCCCGGCCCCGCACCCGTTCCTGGTAAGCACCCGAGCCACCCCGCCGACCCGCGCCACCCATCCGAGCCGCCCCGCCGAGCCGCGCCACCCAGCCGAGCCGCGTCGCCCAGCCGAGCCGCGCCGCCCAGCCGAGCCGCGCCGCTCAGCAGAGCCGCGCCGCCCCCACCGAACCGCACTGCTCTACTGAGCAGCACTAGCTTGCACTGCCGTGCTGCTATTGTTTCTACTGCTGCTACTGCTGCTACTCTTGCTACTGCTGCTACTCTTGCTACTGCTCCTACTGCTGCTATGGCTAGTCCTACCGTTCTCACCTTTAATGCTGAGGGACGTGCAGTTGATTTTGACGTGTGGGTTGACGACCTACAGCTCTTCCTTCAGTGTGATTCTAGGGATGGGGTGTCCCTCTTCGATCACACGTCCGGTGTTTCCACTGCTCCTGCTGCCACTGCTGACAGTACTGTTCGCTCGCAGTGGACCACTCGTGACGCTGTTGCTCGTCTTGCTGTTCGTAGTCACCTACCGCCTGCTGAGCGCGCGCACTTTGGCCAGTACAAGACTGCTCAGTCTTTGTACGACGCTGTAGTTGCACGCTACTCCTCCCCTACCACTGCTGCCCTCAGCCGCCTCATGCTACCGTACCTTTTCCCTGACCTTGCTGCCTTTGCCACTGTCGCTGACCTAGTTGCTCACCTTCGCACTAGTGACGCCCGCTACCGCGCTGCCGTTCCCACTGAGTTCTGTGCCAAGAACCCCCCCCCCCATGTACATCACCCTGTACTACCTAGTCACCCGCCTCCCTGACTCTCTCTCTTCAGTCAGGGACCACTTTCTCTCCCTCTGCCCCACCGAGCTGACTGTCGACCTGCTAGAGGAGCGCCTTGCTGCAGCTGAGAAGAGTACCTTAGCTGTAGGTGCTTCTCGCGGCGACCGTCGCACCCCCTTCTTTGAGGGGTGTTCCCCTGTCCCCCTTCTCCCCTCTGTTGCTTCTGCTGCTGCTCTCGACCTCGTTGGCACTGAGGAGGTCGGCACTGCGTCTGCCTCTAGTAGGAGACGCCGCACCAGCAAGGGCAAGGGGAGCAAGGGTGGTGGAGGGGGCGGCGGGGGAAGCAGTGGAGAAGGTGGAGGCGGCGGAGGAGGTGGAGGTGGTGGTGGGGGTGGTACCGGGAGTGGAGGAGTCAGTGGCAGCGGTGGAGGTCGTGGCGGCGGTGGCGGAGGAGGTGGAGGCAGCGGCAGCGGTGGTGGAGGTAGCGGAGGAGGTGGTGCTGGTCGAGGTGCAGCCGCGCAGCGTGGAGGCTTTGGTGGCAGCCAGCACCAGCAGCAGCTGCGCACCCGTGAGACCCCGTCAGTTCAGCAGCTTCGTGAGTGGTACGCTGGGCGTGGGAGGTCTGGGGGTGCAGGTCCCTGCACTTACGTTCTTCGCACCGGCACTCGTAGTGGGGAGGTGTGTGGACTCCCACACACCACGCAGCGCTGCTTCGGTCGCTTGACTGACGCTTGGCGTACCCAGTTTCCTGATGCCATTGAGCTTCCTCGTTGGCATGATCTGCTTCTGCAGAATGTGCCTATCTTTGATCTAGACTTTGATGCTATCCTTGCTGCCATGTATGCTCTTGCTGATAGTGCTGAGGGTGACTGTTACCTGAGTGTCCCGCCCGACCCGGCCATAGCGGCTGCTGCTCTAGGTGCTAGTGCGTCTGCTGCTCCAGGTACTGGTGCGTCTGCTGCTCCAGGTACTGGTTCGTTTGCTCTCTCTGGAACTGCACCTATTGAGTCCTTGCACACTTTCACACTTGACTCTGGTGCTTCGCGCTCTTTCTTTAGAGACAGCACCACGCTAACGCCGCTCAGTGGGCCTGTTGCGGTCTCCCTTGGTGATCCCTCCGGGGGCCCAGTCCTTGCACACTCCTCCACGGTTCTACCGTGTCCTGCGGCCCCGTCGGGCTTGCTGTCGGGACTCCACCTCCCCTCGTTCTCTACGAACTTGGTGAGTGGAGCTGACCTCCAGGACGCGTGGGTTGACCAGTTCACCCTTGGAGGTCAGCGTGTGACCCACTGCACTTGCTCTCGGATGGGCCGCCACCTGGCCACGTTCACCCGTCGGCCAGGGTCGAGTCTGTACACACTGACTACTGCGCCTCCTCCGGTCCCTGCGTCTGGTCAGGTAGCTGCGTCCAGTCAGGTGTTTGCTGCCGCGTCCAGGTCTAGTCCTGCGTCTGCCCCCTGCTCGTGTCGTCCTCTGGCGCACGAGACTCTCCTTTGGCACCACCGCCTTGGTTACCCCTCCCTGCCTCGTCTTCGAGGTATGGCCTCCCGTGCTCTTGTCTCTGGACTCCCCAGGTCCCTCCCTCCCCTTCCTCCAGGGCCTGCCCCCACCTGTGTTCCTTGTGTCGAGGGCCGGCAGCGCGCCGCTCCCCACTCCTCCTCGTTTCCTCCGACTGAGGCCCCTCTGCAGACTCTTCACATGGACGTGTGGGGCCCAGCC